AGGAAATATTTATAGAATATACATATCAGCCTGATTATCCAAAACTTTTTTCTTTTTTTTACAATTTTAAATAAAAGCCTTTTATTTAATGAATATTTATGGAGTGCCTGCCATGTCTTAAGCACAGTGTTGAAGATTGGCAACACCACTCTTCAGCCAGGCAGAGATTCTGTTTACACACCTCGTCTTGGCTACTTTTTACACTGTTTTGCTCTGTTTGTGTGTGTGTGTATGTATTAATTAAATGGAAATAGGCTCTCTTGGAACTTGAATTCTACTGATGATCTCAGCAGTTAATCTTTTTACTATATCTAAGAGATACACATGAACAGATGTGCAAACTAAGCCTAAAGTAGTTAAGCAGCTTTTAATTTTTAGTATTTTAATGAGGATTTTAGGAAGTAGATATATATAGGGTGGGGCAAAAGTAGGTTTACAGTTGTGAGTATGCAAAACACAGAATTCTTGTATTATTTATTAGTTATTGTATTCTTTTCCATATGAACAACTGTAAACCTACTTTTGCCTCACCCTGTAGAATTCAAGAAAGCATAAATAGCATGTATGCTATGCGAACTTTTCTTCATATATAAAGTAACATATAAATGTATATATACTTTTCTCTATATCTAATGTAACTTGATATTCATTACTATCCATAAAAATTAGATATATAATCTCCTTAGTTGTGAAATTCACTCTTTATATGTATAATAATGCAACTTTATATTCATTACATTATAATGTAACATGTAAATGTAACACATAATGTTCTCTTTCTGTATGTACTCTAACTGGTCTTTATATATGAAGAGTTTAATTTCAAAATTAAGGAGAAGATTATATCTGATTTTCTTTTTATAAATAGTAAAGAACTCCAGTTTGGTCCAACGTGGATTATATCCCAGCTACCTCCTAACATTCCAAATGACTACATCTTGATGTTTGTTCTGAGCTTGCACACTACTCCTTTATAATATGACTGTCCTTCCTGGCTTGGGACTGAATCCCCACCCCGTTTGAAATACATGCCCTTGAACCTGAACTTTCTACTTTCTATTTCATTAGGGAAAATTTACCTTCTTCAAAGATTATTCCGAGTTAGAATATTTCTTTCAGATATTTGAGACTATAGCATTTTATGCTTCCATGAACAAGATAGAATATAATTGTATTACAAACTTTTATTTGTTCCTACCTAACAGTTTATCTCCTCTTGTTCATTTAAAAATTAGATTGAATAATGTCCATTTCCTTTATTCTTTCAACCAGATGAAAAGATCCTTATGGGCAGAGTTATTCTCTTCCAGAGCTGTGTAAGCATAGAACTAATTAACACTTCAGGTAGCCAGTCATTCTTAGTTGCAGGTGTGTGATCGCCTGAAACCTCTAAGGGATTGAGTTTTACGAAGGCCTGTTTTGTTGTTTACTTTCTGAGATATAAACTATTACTGTTATTTCAGGAACCTTTACCAGTTTCAGTTGAACTTCAGCAACAAGAAAAATGCTAAAAAGATGGCAAGATATCAAGCTATGGCTATGCTCTAGAAAAGTAACAGCAGCAAAATGAATTAATTAATGATGTCAACCCAGGTGTGCAGACATTACTTTTAAATGAGGTATCAGTGAAATACTAATCTAGAGCTCAGTTCGAGCCTACAATTAAAAGGATACATTGAAAGATTTATGATATTATCTGTGTTTTGACTCATAGAAGAAAAACATAAAAGTAGTATGAAATATAATTTGTATAATAAATAAACTTTATTATGCCCTAAAGTGATATCTTTATAATTATCAATAATTCTATAGATTATTGGGAGGAGCATGGTATTTCAAGTGAAGGTATGTTTTTCTTAACGTCTTTGACACGTTATCAGTTGTGACCCTCACATCTCAGCTGTATGTCCTCCAAACGACTAAATCGTATTCAGTTCTCTGTATGGCGTGTATAGTTGCCGTCAATTTTTAAGCCAGACTCTTTGTTCTGCTGTTTATGTGAGTATGGTAGGTCCTCAATTTTTGACGTACGTAGGATGAATAAACCAATTCAGACTCACTCGTGGTTCCTGTAAGAATGTAGCGGTTAAATACTATGATATTTCTGCATTTTCAGTTGTAATAAGTTAGGCTGAATCATAATTACTTCAATATTCTCTGGCTCATCTCTGGCATAAGTATGATATAGGTGTTGAAGATAAATTTAATTTTTCTTTAATATTAAATAAATTGATTAACCTTAATTTTATTTTAATTAAACAACCCTTAAATTTAATAGCCAAAAAATTAATCCTTTGGCTTTTTGCTTACAGTTGTAGATAACTATTGTTAATCCAATTACTAGTTTGTGATTAAGTGCTCCCTACTGTATGCTTGCCTTGCTTTCACCTAGAATCTAGGGCCATTACTTTCTGTAACCATTTCAGTGAGCTGCCATAGTTTTCGGTCTGTACTGTCACCTGATCCAAGCATGCGCCAAAATATCCACTGTTTCTGGCTCCTGTCTGCTGAATCTGCTTTGCAAAACCCTTCGTTCTTTGAGCTTTTGCTTTAGCCAAAAACCAAATCTGAGAAATTCTTTGGAGTGTGGACATATGCCATTTGCTTCCTTAGCTCCCATGTTATGTAACTCGTTAGCTTTTATTAAACTTGTAAATAATTACAACAGTGGCATCCCCATGTGCAACTGTGTGGCTCGTGTGTCAAAATAAAGGCTGCCTGTGAACTTGTCAGAGGAATATGAATGCTCCACACGTGCTGCATTCAGCTTTTTTTTTTTAATCAGCCACCTATTCTTTCATAGTGTTTGGTTTAATTATCTGATTACTTTATGTATTATACCAAGGTAAGTTTGATGTAAATAAACTTTGTATTCTATGTGATTACATGTATCTCATAGTATTTATTATTACATACTTTTTCGTTTAGACATGCCAGTCATTTCTAAATAAATACACCTTGAACTTAAACTAAGTGGCTCCTTCTGTTTTTCATTAATTTAAAATGGATTACTTCTTGTAAAGTTCATTTTTAAAACAGAAAAGCTACTGTGTATTACTTGTGGCACAGATGTAGGCACCCCTAATATGAGAAGATATATATTATAAAAACATAGTATATAATTATTAGTTTTAGCAAGTAATAGTTTAAACTTGCAGAAAGATATAAGAAGGAAATAGCAGGCCCTACTAGTGCATTTGCATTTAAGAAAAGTTAGGTTTTTTATTTTATACAGTTTTTCACAAAAATAATTATTTTTAAATAGAAATATTTGTTATTATTTATGATATCTATTTTCAAAGAGTAAGTAATTTGATAGATTAAGCAACTACTTCAGCTTTTAAGTTTGTCTTGTGATATAAAAGTTCCCTGTTAGGAAAGGATGATGTTAAATAGATGTCCAAGTTGGTCTGGAAACATATGTGTCTTAAAAGAAAAAGAGAAAATGGACTTGAAAGTGTATTTGTGCTGTTAATGTCTGCATTTCAGTTAGAAATATCAAGAAACCCTTTAAGATAATAGTGTGTGTGCAAAATAGGGCCACCAGTTTTCTCACACATTTCTTAATTAATAATGCTAATTGCTAACACCCTATTGTAGTCTTTTCTATTTCTCTTCCTTCTTTATTTTTCTCCTACTTTGATCTTTTTCTCAGTTTCCTGGAGTCTGCATTTTTTTCTTTTCTTCTGAAAGAAAGTTTTAGGGTAGCTCTGTCTTGGATCCAAAACTTTAATTCAAGAAGTGGCTGGCATCAATTGTAGTTCTGGCCTTTATCTCCTCATTTCTCCCTTTTGCTGACCCCCTTCCTCCCTGTGGAGGAAACAAAATTACATCGTAGGAATGTGAGCCATAGTAAGCCTTTAACCTTTCTTTACTTTGCTGTCTTCAATATTTCACTAGTGAGTATATTTCTACTTATTCTTCTTATTTTGCAAAACATATTTTGAAAGTGGATATATACTGAAATCCAAAAAGGAAAGTTTGGGGATTGTTTTTATTTTCAGTTGTAATAGTGCCTTATATGTGGAAAATTTACAATAAGAGCTCAGCATCCTATTGAGAGTTGGTTAAGTTTTTTTATCTCAGTGGAATTGGCCACACAAAAAAACAAATTAGGATATGCTGATTATAGACTGTTTCTGCTTTTAACATCGTTGTACATAAAAAGTTACTGTAATTTGCAGCTGCTGTTCACCAGTAGTTTGCAGCTAAATGCAAGTGATTAGGAAGTATGTGCGACAGATGCCCCATTTATAATGCTCCATTACAAAGCAGTATGGGATTCCTCTATGGTAATAAAATACAATTCTGTGATTCTAGGGCATTTTCTTAATCACAGAGCCATATGTGGAATTATAGTGTTCTATTTGAAATTTGTCCCTATATACATTGACCAAATTATTTATATTAATCTTTTAACTGTATTTTTTTAAATTTTGAATTGGCTAGTCCCTTTATATTTTGTCAGTTTGCTTTAGGACCCACATCTCTTTAGAATGGTAGCTACAGATGGCTTTCTCTTTTTTTAACATCAACTAATCTTTGCCTTGAAAAGAATCCAAAATATAGTGGGTTATAAAAAATAGGCACCAGGAAATGAAATCTGAATTTATGGATATGACTCATAATGTGTTCTCTCAGTGAGGTGATATATAGGATATCCTCTCAGTTTAAAATTAGAATCTGGAAAGTCTGGGTCTACATTTTAAGTTGTACCTGATAAAATACATCCCTGTAGGTGTCCCTTAAAAGTAATAAAGCAAATAGAACTGGGTAGTTTATTTTCTAGCAATCAAGTTTAAAATGTTAAACTTTTTGAGAAGTAGCATTACATTAAAGTATTAAGCTTTTGAGAAGAAGTATTTTAAAGATAGGATGTTTTAAAATCTGTTGTAGAACAGTACTTTTTTGCCTTACAGAGTATGTTTATTTTAAACATTTCTTGTTCATATAGACAGTGTACTATTGAGTAGTAAACTGATTTAAAATTTATTTTTCAGATGAACCAGAAACTCGAGATGCATGGTGGGCAGAAATCAGACAAGAAATAAAATCACATGCTAAAGCATTAGGCTGTCATGCCGTAGTGGGCTACAGTGAATCAACTAGCATCTGGTAAATGATCATAACAACTTGCTTTTCTAGATGCTGTAACTTACAGATTGTCATCTGAAAAGGGAAAAGCTTTATGCAAATACAGAGAGAATAATGGGGTGATCCAGAGCATGGGCTTTAGGGTACCTCAGACTGAGGTTCATGTGCCATTTTTGCCGTCGAATTGCTGTGAAACTTTGAGAAAGTTACTCCACTCCTCTGAGCCTCAACTTTCACATTGAATGAGAATATAATACTGACTCATAGCACATGTTAACTCTAGGCTGGTTTTATTCCTGTTTGTGACTCGGCTGACTTCTTCCTCGGTGATCTTTGGAACCCTTGATCTGTTGTAAATGAACCGCCTTGTGTCTTTAAAGCCCATCTCCAAACTCTTCCTGCTGTCTTTTACTAACTGTTACTTATCTTTCTCCTGCTAACAAATCATCCTAATGCTGCCAAGTAATGAAGGGACTTCCATATTCTTAGTTCTCAAAACCCTTTTTGCCTGTCTTACATTTTGAACAGCCTCTTTAAAGCCCATGCCACTCCACAGTTCAGGACTTCCTCCCTCCCGATCATTCTTCTGCCCGTCTTCATTCCTTCTCTGCTGTCTCCTCCAGTTAAATGTGATTGTCACCCTCGCATTGCACTTTCTCATTCAAACGTCCTCTATCCCCATTTGACTCTAAACCATACATGGACCTCATTACCTCTCAAAACTGTTGCCTCTTAAAAATGTGAAACTGTAAGAGTTCATTCTTGGATCACAGTATTTTTCCACCCACACCCTTTGCTCATGTACACCTCGTTTGTTTGGGTCTTTATCGTAACCAAGAGTTTTCCTAGTTCCTTGCTCAGGTTTCGACTTTACTTGCTGTCTGCCATTCTTGAACCCTCTTACCAGCTCCTTCAGAAGTTTGTGATCTCATCTAGAAACTGGTTGACCCTCTGCTATCTTATTTTCCATCTGCCATTCTTAGGTAATTCTTACTGGAGTTGTGACACGGATAATTCTCTTGAACTTATGGTGGTCATTCTTGTTAGAGAAAAAAGTTTAGGCTGTAGTAAGTGTGGACGTTACAGAGCCACACCCGTCGCATCTTTTCCTTTGCAGCATGTGTTATCATGCTCTTGAACTGTCCTATTCCCATAGTAGTAGTTCTATTCTTGTTAAGCTAACTTTTTTATGCTTCTCCTGCCTTACTCCCCGGTATATAGTCCTGCCTCACTTATGGACTTAGTGTCACACTCTCAAGGCCTAGGGATGTGGTTTGAAAAACCATAGTTCTCGTTTTGAGGTTCACATTCTGCGGGAGAAATATGAGGAGTGTATGTTTTACGATAGAGAAATCCCAGGATGCTTTGGGGTCCCAGAGGGTTGGAGGTTAGAGGTAAGATTGGACGAAAGTGTTAATGAAGTAACTGAAGCTTACACTGGATCTCAGGGAATGCATATTAATTATATAAATGAAGAGAAGAGGCATAGGGACAGGGTTCAAGGCTGAAAGCATAGCATGTGGAGAAGGTGTAGGTTCACTGTGGCTGGACACGGATCACAGATGCAAGATCTACAGACGTGAGTCCAATTAACTTATTTAGAAGTTTGAATTCATCTGACACAAACTCCTTTTTTTCTCTAGATCACATCTTTACTAATGTGTTCTAACCCATCCAACTTACTATTACTGGGTTAAACTCCCTGCAATGCACTCTACTCTTGTAGCATCTTGATTCAGTGCCTTCTAGTGACCCCATGTTGTTCCTTCTGACATCCTCAGTACCCGCTTAAACATTTTAAGCCTGGCTTCTCTCTACTCAAGTGACCATTTCTTTCCTATCTTCTTAGGCTTCTGGTCCATTTACACTTTGTTTCCAGCCTTTCATCGCTAGGCTGCTAATTTTCTGATTTGTTTTGTGATCTATTTCAATAATTGTGTTGGTGGTTTCCTTTTTTGGCTTTCAAATTGGGTAATATGTAGTAAAGACTTTCAAAGAATTCTTTTGAATATCAATTTTTAACATATATATAAAACAATGTAATTTAAGTTCCATTTAGTATATTTTGGATATTATTTGCTTCAGATACTGTTTTATTATTAAGTTTATATTAAGCTATAGCAATATAGATATTTATATAGTTTGTTTTTAGAATAATTTAAATAAAATTTAATGTGCATTTTAGGAGGATTTTAATGAGTTATCGCCTGATTCAACAATATAGTTTGTTACTGCTTTTATTTTAAAATGTTTCAATCTTTATCAGCTTTACCATATTTTAAAGGACTCTATTGTCTTTAATATTGTGCTTTACCTTTTATAATTTTTAAGTAACAAAGAATTCTTGCCCTCTCCATTTTAATAACATTACATTACTTCTGTTTTCTCTCCTAGGTTTAGGAGGTAATCCTGTGATATTAATATTTAGTAGAGTCTAACCTGAATTTAAATTGTCACCCTTGTAATCACTCTGATATTTAACATTTTCCAAACTTAGATTGCCTGAAAGTGTTAACTTGTTTTTTGTGTTTTTCCTTTTGTAGTGAAGAGGTCTGTATTTTATCTGCATCTGGCACGGCAGCTGTACTGAATCCTAGATTTCTGCAGGATGGCACCGTGGAGAGCTGTTTGGAACAGAGGTTGTCCTGGCAGCCTGGCTTATTTCCCATAAGGGCAGAGAAGGGAGAAGTTGACTGTTTTTCCGTCAGAGCCGGGATAAGTCTCCTCTATGAGGGTGGTTTACAGTGGGACAGAGTAGAAATCAGGACCAGGCACTTGACTGCTTTTTACCTAATACACAGCGACAGAGAAGTCTTGGGATCTGCACTGTGTGACACATTATAATGTCTAGTATCTTGATAAGTGACTTGTATGGCTACCAGTTGCAGAATTTCAAGGAGACATTGTTTTTGTTTGTTACATTATAGATATAATTTCTTTGATTTGATTCTCCCCCCCTTTCTTTTGTCTTACCTCTAAAACAGAAAAAGGTCATGAAACAATTTTCATAAATAAACTTCTTCATTCCCAAAACCATCAAAACACTATATTATACCAAAATTATATATAAAAACTTCATGGAAAGTGAAGTATAACTTTAATATATGTAAAAGTGAAAGTATTAGGTAAAATGAGATTACTTTCTGGTTTATTTGATTACTGGTCCCTTTAATCTGTTAGGTTCCATAAATGTCAAAAATGCTATTCATAAACAGGTGAAATTATCAAATATATATGCAAGAAAACTGTTAGTGTGGTACCAGAGGCTACTTGGATAATATAACTTAATCAGTCCTTACCCCACAGTATGCATATTTGCTTTTCAATATTTTTTTTCAGTATTAATATACAGGATGGGGCAAAAGTAAGTTTACAGCTGTGAGTATGTGAAAAAGAGTTTATTCTTTTATTATCATTTATTAATTATTGTATTTTCCATGTGAACAACTGTAAACCTATTTTTGCCCCACCCTGTATTAGTATATATTAAGGAAGAAAGCAAAAAAAATCCTGTATGTGATCAGATTTAGTACAAATTTTCCAAGTGTCTATATAACAAAGAATATGCTAAATCTGGTAGGCACACAGAATACTTTGATCAGTGTCTTTTTTTGTCAGTATTAAAACGGGCTTAGCATTAATAACCCACGGACACAGACATCAGTACAGTGTGGGCCTGGGCTGGGGTGGGAGCTGGGTGGAGGGAGGTAAAAGTGGGAGGAAGGGGAAACGTCTCTAATACTGTCAACAACAAAAAGTCGTCATAAGTAGGAAAGTGAAGGTGGGACATTTGAAGTATATTAAACAATTGCAATGTTTTATTGAGAAAACAGATTTTGCCTGTGAGTTCTCCCAGTGCTGCAATATAGTTGTTACACATGTCAGTAGATTTCATTGAGTAGAGAGAAGCCTAATTTAACAAATGACCTTCCCCATGCTGGTAGGTTTTTTCAGTATTGTGGCTTGGATTGATACAGTGGATTCTCTTGTATGGTAGTCTAATGCAACAGATATTTTTATTTGTAAAAGAGATAAAAAATATTACTGCTTACTAGAGAAAATTTGAAAAATATAGGAGAGTAGAAGGAAGAATTTCCTATGATCTCAGTATTTAGAGTCTCTTTTGTACATTTTATATTTCAGATGCTTTCATAATTTTTTAAATTTTATTGTTGGAAGTATTACATATGGCCCCCATTCCCTCCCCTCCTCACTTTCCCCTCTCCACCCAGTCCCCTCCCCACCCCAGGCCTTCCCCACACTATTGCCTGTGTTCTTAGACTATGTATATATGTTCTTTGGTTAACTCTTCCCATCTCCTCCACCCCTTTCCCCTTTGAGACCTGTCATTCTGTTCCATGCTTCCATGCCTCTGGACCTGTTTTGTTAAATTTTAATACTTTATTTTTTTGTGGCTTTATAATGTTGCACAATTTATGTCCATATTTTTATGAGGTGTTTAATTAAAAATTGCCCCAGTTTATACCCCCCAGTTAGTTTGGAATCAAACTAATTGGCATTAAAATTTAGGTCTGCTACTTAGTACCTAGTGTGACCTAGCAAGTTACTTAGTATCTCAGTTTGGTTTCAGGCCAAGTAGAACTAGTTTCTGTTGTCTGGTGGGCATTATTTTAGGGGGTAGGGCAGCCTGTGTGTTTGCCTATTGTGTTCTTACTTAGTCTTTGAAAACATAAAAAGAACCTTTCTAGGCAGATACTGTTATTCCCATTTTATAGAGGAGGCTCTAAGAGGTTAAATAACTTGTTCAGGGTGACACAGCTTTACTCAGGTATGTCTGAATTCCCTGTTACTTCTGATATACCAGAATGCTGCATCCATAATGCTATATCAGTAATAAATGAATATATACCAGAATGCTATATCAGTAATAAAATAATAATATCTGGGAGTAATTTAATTTGATTTAGAAATTCAGTGAATTATTGAAAATTCAGTGAAATAATGTATACAAAGGATCTGCAGAAAGCCTGACTCCTTGTAGATATAGTATTAGTTTCCTTTCCTTTTAAAAATGTGTCTACTTGCCAAATTTCAGCTTCTAAAAGGTTGCTTTAGAATATGGAGAATTGAGAACTCACACCTTCCAGAGCCCTAGAAGATAGGGCTTGGCAAAAGCCTGAGGTTCTCCATGGAGCCTTCTCTGTTTCCATTTCCATTCTTCTGATTTCCTTAGACTTAATGAGTAAAAAAGTACTTAATCATTCTAAAACGAACTCATAAACAGCATATTACAACAAACATTTTACAGTGAATGGGAAGGTTGTGGGTAGTTCATTTGCAGTTTATGCATGATATATATGTTGTTTCTTAAATAGGCATTTTGGTTTTTAACCATGATTTTTTCATATAGTTAGGTTTTCTGGTTAAAAAAAATTTTTTATTAGAAATTCTTAAATTATATTTGCATTATATCTGTCATACAGTAAGAAAATGTCACTCTCATTGTCTGTTTGATTTTATGTTGTATCCCAAAGAAAAAACTTTGAAATAATAATGGTTTTTGTTAGGTGGTAAGTCATCACACATATGATTGATAAAAAATGATTTTCTACTTGTATAAGCCTTTTCTCTCATTTTGTTCTCATTTCATGGTCATTTGTAATTATCAGTCATAGCGGTACTCTTACAACCTACTGTGGTAGAAATCATGGTGTAGTTTGTACACAAGTACTATGTATACAATATATGTTTTTGAAAAGGAGCACAGAATTTTCAAGAACGTCTTATTTTTCTTCTTAATATATTCATATAGGCTAGAAGAAAATTTGCCTGCAGGCTGTGGATTTTGCCATATACCATATGACGAACTGAATATGCCATTTCCAGCTCATCTCACATATTGCTATAACTGCAGGAAACAAAAAGTTCCTGATGTTCTCTTTACAACTATAGACCTCCCAACAGATGCAACAGTTATTGGAAAAGGTTGTCTTATTCAAGCAAGGTATGTTTGTGAAAACAATATTTGGGGTCCCTGAAAGAGTAGGGGATATGGAGCCAAACAGACCTAATTTCAAGTATCTACTCTGTTTCCTACCTGGAGTCCTGGATAGGCTGGGCAGTTCTATCTGAACCTTGTATTTTATCATTTGGAAAATTGGGACTAAAAATACTCTCATTATAAAACTTAAGTAAGTTTATACAGGGTGTCCCAAAATATCACAAAAAATATATACACACTTTAACAGCTCAATTTTTAAAATAAAATGTATTTTAATAAACACTACCTTTGTAGTTATTCAGAGTGTGTAGAAACATTTTTGGGGGACACCCTATATTAGTTTAAAACATTTAAATTCTGTATTTATTTTTATTATGCGGATTATTCTTTAACCTCTTGAAAGCTAGGGATGTGACTATGCGTTAATGACATTAAAATGTCACACATTCTGGAAACGGACATTTTTCTTTTAAAGAGCAGTGCTATGTAGTGTTTCTCTTATGACTTCACTTAGCTGTTAAGAGCTCCTTTTAAACTGTACAGGAGTAGGACATGCCATGGCATCCCTGTGGTAGGAACACAGGAAACAGCTCTGACTGTCACTAGCACCTGCCAGGTTACCAAGTCCACTGAGCATGTCTGACCTCACTGTACTTGATGACTCAGCAGTCACACAGTTGGTCATTTTCTCCTTTTTGAAACTTCTTTGTCTTCAGGATGCCACACCTTCTGCCTTTTCCCATCTGTATGAACAGCTTCTAGTCTCCTTGTTGATTCCTCTTCGTTTCTTGATCCTTGAAAGCCAAGGGTCTGGACCCTCTTCTCAGAACTCTCCATAGGTGAACTCATATGCTGTCTGTGTCTGACTCCCAGGTCTGGAACTTCAGTCCAGAGCTTCCTTCTGAGCTTCAGACCCGTATGCTTACCTGCGACTTCACATCCCATTTTGATGTGTCGTAGATGTCTCACACTTATTCCAAACTGAACTGCTGATTTTCTCCACTTCTTTCACGTTAGCCTCCTCTACTTTAATAAATTATGCCTTGCTGTATCCAGTTCTTCATGCCAAATATGGTATTCTTGCACGGTGCCCTTTTTCTTAACCTCCCCACATGTTATTACAAAGTCATATTGCGTTTTCTCCTAATTATATTTTTATTCCATTTACTTTTGTTTTATTCTTTCCTGCATTTTAGGCCTTTCATTTTGGGTTTTTCTTTGGCCTGAGGCATATCCTTTAGTATTTCTTGGGTGGGTCTGCTGGTGGTGAATTATCTTGTTTTTGCTTGTCTGAATGTGTTTATTTTATCTTTAAAAGGTATTTTTGGGTGGCAGTTATTTTATTTTAGCACACTAAAGATACCCTTCCACTGCCTTTTCACTTTCATTGCTACTGTTGAGAAATAATCTATTAGACTAATTGTTTCTTTGAAGGAATTGTATGTTTTTTCATCAGTCTGTGCTTGAGCTATGGTATTTATTTTTGGTTTTCTGCAGTTTCCCTGAGAAGTGTTAGGTATGGAGTTATCTTTCTTTCAATTGTTATACATTGGGCTTCTTGAATATGTAGAATAGTGTCTTTCATGTGTTTTAGAAAGTTTTTAGATATTAATTCTCCTGTGTTTCCATCTCTTCTCTCTTCTTGATACTCCAGTTAAAATATATTAGACTTTCTATTGCCTCCTCTATGTCTGTTACTTTCTCTTCTGTATTTTCTGTCTTTTTGTTTTTCTCTGCTATATTTTAGATACTTTCTCTTCTGTCTTTCAACTGTTTCTCTCTTTAGCTATCTCTAATATGCTAATAAGCCTCATAATTTGAGTTTAAGTTTTTGGCAATTTATTTTTTATTCCTAGAAGTCTCAGTTCATTCTTTTTCAAATCTGATAGCACATGTTATAGTCTGACTGATTCTATAATTAACAATTTTAATATCTGAAATCTTTTTGTTTTCTATTGTTTCTGCTAGTTATTGTTCATCATATTTTGTTTCCTTTGATTGTGATAGGCTCACAGGAAGTTACAAAATGGAACAAAAAGTGCTATGTACGCTTCAGTCACCTTTCCTCATTGGTGACATCTTATACAGCTATTGTAGAGTATCAGCTGGGAAATTGACATTGGTATAATCCTGTTAACTATATTGCAGACCTTATTTAGTTTTTACAGCCATCACCATAGTCAAGACACAGAACTGTTCCAGCCCACAAAGTAACTTTTTTTGCTGCTTCATTATGTTTATGCCCCACTTAGCCCCTTGCCATGGTCCTATGATGCTTTTCAGAAGAATATATATATATATATATATACACACACACACACATACACACACACACACACACACACACATAAACATTTTTTTTGTTTTAGGTAGGAGGAGGTTAGTCTCCATCAGTGGGTCTCAGAGTGTGGTCCCAGACCAATAAATAGCATCACCATCCTAGGGGGAACTTACAGAAATATAAATTCTCAGACCCCACTCCAGATTTATTGAATCAGAAACTCTGGGAATGGGGCCCAGTAATAGTTTCTTAACTAGCCCTTTAGGTGGTTCTGATGTAAAGTTTGAGAACTACTAGAATAAATAGACTGGCTTACCAGTTTTGGAGATCTTTCCTTTATCTTCACTGCTACCTTTTTAGTTCAAACTCTTATTGTCTCTCACTTAAATGGTTTCTTATCTACTATCCCTACACCAATTCTGTCATCTTACTCCATTCTCTGTGTAGCAATATAAATAATGTCCTGATATAGAAATGGGTTCATGTTAATACTTAAAATCTATTTGGGGTGTCCCATTGCTGGCAGAATAAAATCAAACTCTTTACCATGACCCCTAAGCCCCTAATATGATCATGTCCCTTCTTACCTGTGGCCTCATCTGTACTACTCTCACCCTTGCTCACTTCACTTTAGCTACAGCAGTCACCTTTTGGATCTTTTAATATTCCAGCTCCATTCTATAATTGTCTTTCTCCAACTCTCAGTTTTTATCGTGTCTTTAAGATCCCAACTCAGGGGGTCACCTCTCCTGTGAGGCCTTCTCTCTAGTTATTCCCACTCATTTCACCTGGTTTATTTTCTTGAGATACCTGATTCTTAAACATAATCTGAGGTTGCTTTGCTTTTGTCATCCCC